GTAAACAAAAATAAATCAAGAATTTCAAATAAATTTTTATGATAAAAAGTCATTTTACAAATTTGTTAATAAAAAGATTGTTCAAAATTAAATTTAGTTTTTCCAAGCATATCATGGCCAAATAGAAGAAAATATTTCAAATTGATGATCACAAGTGAAGAAAGAGATCAAATCAGGCTTTGGAGCAAAAAGAATGGATCAAAATGTCAAAATTGACAAAATTGGGCCGAAGTTGAGCCCAGGCGTTTGAGGGGCGTGCGCCTCAGACTCAGGCGCACGCCTGTGGGGGTGACGATTTGAAACGGCGCAATATCGGATTTTCGGCGGAGAATCCAATCAAACAGAAGCCCAGGCGCCTGACAGGCGTGTGCCTCAGCTTCAGGCGCGCGCCTGGGCTTCCGGAAGGCTATAAAAGCAGCGCTTCCCCTGTCATTCCAACCATCCCATTCCACAACTTTTCTTCTTCCTTCTCTCTAGTTACGAAATTTGTATAGAGAAGTTAAGTTTTTGTTCATTTTGGGATCGGAGTTTCAAGTCCAGAATTGTTCAATTCCGCTTTTTCTGGAAGTAGTAAGTTTTCTGTAATATTTATAAAAATGTTATGTTATTTAATTTGTGTGCATTTAATTGTTATCATGTCTGCTTAAATATTTTAGGAATGTGAATTGAAATAGGGTAGTAGGTATGTAGGATAAATTTAATTAAGTTGGAATATTAAATTTAATTAATTAAAATGTTAAGTTTCTAGTAATTGTTGTAATGTTATAATTAATTTATCTGGCCAATTTATTAATTAATTATTGAAAAATTATTATATCCATTTGTCTATGAATGTGAAAAATAATTTAGTCAACCAATACTAGCACATTAATGAAATTTAGAGATACGATATAATTAATGGAGTAGTTGTGAGAGAACTCTCCCTAGACAATTAATTAATTATTTTAGTATTCCAACTAGTTAAGATATCTGAAAATTGCCTACTACCTGAAATCAATTGATATTCCTCTTTATCAATTCAATCAAGTTACGATTCTGTTCAATCAATTTAAATTTTCGAAATTAGAAAACTTCCAATACCAATCATTATGCCTTGCCTAACTAATTTTTAATAGAGAATTTATTTACATGCCAATCCTTGTGAATACGACACGGGAATAAATTGAACTCTTTTAGAGGGAAATTTACTACCACTAAAACTCAATCCTCAAATGGCGCCCTTGCCGGGGATTGGCGCGTAAATTTTTTTTTAAAAAAAATTATTTAGTTAGCCTGGAAGAAAATTGGTTAGGTCGATTTTCTAGCATCTTTTCATTATTTGGCAAACTACATGCAAACTCGCTCTACTAGTGGGGGTAGTTTTGCTCCGTACACTGATAATCCTAAAGGAATTCTCCGCCAACCTAAAAATTCACCCGGTGAGAATTCTGAAAAAGAAGAACAAGAAGTCGAACAACTTGTTATTCAAATGGAGGAGGTCAATAACAACAGAAAGAGGCGGACGGTGCTCCAAGCAATGAGCCCTGCATATACTGAGGAAGATCCAATTGGACTCCCCAATATTGATGCCCACACGTTCGAGATCAAACCCGCAATGATCCAAATGGTCTCGAACAATCAATTTGGGGGTCTTAAAAATGAAGATCCAAGAGCTCATATGTTATGGTTCTCTCGAACTTGCCAAACATTCAGAACGAATGGAGTGTCTGTTGATCGTGTTAAACTATCGCTGTTTCCCTTCTCACTACGAGATAGGGCAGCACGATGGTTGAATACGTTCCCGAAAGGACATTTCACCACATGGGAGGCGCTTCATCAAGCCTTCATGCACGAATACTTCCCACCATCTGCCATTGCAAAAATTAAAAGATCTATTCAGAGTTTTTCTCAAAATTCGACTGAATCTTTAAGTGAAGCATGGGAAAGATTCAAGGATCTGAAGATCAAATGTCCACCTGCTCTAATTGATCCTGACAGCCTAATGTTCCATTTCTACCAAGGACTTCTGGTTTCATCGAAGAAAGAACTAGACCACTCTTCAAAGNCTGTTTCCCTTCTCACTACGAGATAGGGCAGCACGATGGTTGAATACGTTCCCGAAAGGACATTTCACCACATGGGAGGCGCTTCATCAAGCCTTCATGCACGAATACTTCCCACCATCTGCCATTGCAAAAATTAAAAGATCTATTCAGAGTTTTTCTCAAAATTCGACTGAATCTTTAAGTGAAGCATGGGAAAGATTCAAGGATCTGAAGATCAAATGTCCACATGCGGGCTCTAATTGATCCTGACAGCCTAATGTTCCATTTCTACCAAGGACTTCTGGTTTCATCGAAGAAAGAACTAGACCATTCTTCAAAGGTCGGTTCTTTCCTAGATATGACGCCGGAGGAAAATGAGGAATTGGTGGAAAAACTCACATCAAATGCCAAATACTGGTACGAAGACCGAGTTCCACAACAAGAAGCTGGAATGTATGAGGTGGACACTTTCACCGCACTCAAGGCAAGTATGGAAAGTCTCATCAAGCGGACCATCCAAGATCAGTTCAGTGCAAGTTCGCATCCAAACAAACAACATGAATCAATTGCTCAGGCCGATGCTTACTATCAAGGAGGATCTAGTTCACACCAAAATGAACTGGTCCTGTCTTGTGAATCTTGTACAGGTGCACATCTGACATCTCAGTGCCCGTACAATGAAAGCACAACAAAGGAACGGCCACGTGAAGTACACTTGGCACAATATGCCAACAAAGGGGAAGGACCATGGGCCCCTAATCAGTACCAGCCAGCTTATCAGCGCAATGATCCTTCGAGGGAGCGCAACAATAACAATTTCCAGCGAAATAATCGTTCAAGGGACGATTACAAACAAGGCGGCTGGAACAACAACACCAATTGGAATAGTCAAAGAGGGTCTGGCTATAACTAAGGGGGAAATACTCAAGTGTATGTTCCCCCACACCAAAGACAAGCTGAGGATCCTATGGCCGAAATGAAGAGGATGATGGAGGAGCAAAATAAAAAGAGTGAAGAAAGAATTCAAAGGTTAGAGGAATCTATGAGACAACTAATGGATAAGATGACAATCAGACCTCCTGGAACTCTCCCTGCCAACACTGAAACCAATCCACGCGAACATCTTAACGCTGTTACTCTACGCAGTGGAAAGGAAGTTTAAGGCGTTGGTCAAAGTACTGAACCAACATTGGAGGAGGAGTCTAAGGTTGAACTAATTAGTCAACCAACTGAAGAAAAGAAGAAGGAACCAGAAAAGAAAGAAGAAAGGAAGGATAAGGAACCTTTCCAGTCCCAGCATCCAAACAGCAATCTCCTACCAAAGAAGGTGATCGTACCCTTTCCATCAAGGGTAAAGAAGAAGAATGATGATCAAGCTTTCAAGAAGTTTTTAGACATCATGGGCCAAGTGGAAGTTAAGTTGCCCTTGATTGATGTCTTAACTGAGATGCTAAAGTATGCCAAGTTCATCAAAGACTTGCTTATGCATAAAAAGGACTTGGAAGGGGTTTCAATGATCAATCTGAATGCGAGATGCTCCGCGTTGCTACTCCAACAATTACCTGAGAAGTGCAAGGATCCAGGTAAATTTTCTATCCCCTGCTCAATTAAAGACATGCACTTTCAACATGCGCTAGCAGACTTAGGCGCGAGCATTAATTTGATGCCCACATCAATCATGAAACAGTTAGGAATTACTGAACTTAAACCTTCACGGATGTGTGTTCAACTAGCGGATAGTTCTGTCCGTTACCCACGGGGAATAGTTGAGGACATACACGTAAAGGTTGATAAGTTCACATTCCCAGCCGATTTCGTGATTCTTGATATGGAAGAGGATTCAGAAATGCCTCTAATTTTGGGTCGGCCATTTTTAGCAACTGCTAAGGCCCTAATTAATGTTCACGAAGGGGAAATGACTTTAAAAGTTGGAGAGGATGAGTGTACCTTCAAACTGACGGACCTGATGCACAATTCTCCAGACCCTACCGAATTTTGTCATTTTGTCAAAATATTGAAGGACAAAGGGTCTGTCGAGACGCTTCTTGGTTTAGAGGCAGTATTGAAGGAGGAAGAGAATGAAGGGATTAAGTGTGTGGATGTTCGGGAAGTGGAAACAAAGGGATCTGATACCCTAGAACTGAAGCCACTTCCCAAACATCTAGAATATGCATTTCTGGATGACGAGGGCAAATCCCCGGTTGTCATCGCATCTGAATTGACTGTGGATCAAAAGGCCGAACTATTGACCGTTCTTCGACGGCACAAGCAAGCAATTGATTGGAAGTTGGAGGATATTCAAGGAATCAGCCCGGCCTTTTGCACCCACAAAATTGCAATTGTAGAAGGGTTCAAGCCTGTTGTTCAAACACAACGTAGGCTTAATCCAAAACTGATGGAGGTAGTACAAAAGGAAATCCTCCGATTATTAGACGCAGGTATTATATACCCAATCTCTGATAGTCGGTGGGTTAGTCTTATTCATGTTGTCCCGAAGAAGGGAGGAATGACTGTTGTGAAAAATGAGAAGGGTGACTTAGTACCTAGTCGAACAGTCACCGGGTGGAGAATGGTGATAGACTACAGAAAGTTAAATGATGCCACCTGGAAGGATCACTTTCCCCTTCCCTTCATTGACCAATTAATTGAGAGACTGGCAGGTCATGCCTATTATTGTTTCCTTGATGGAATGAGTGGATACTTTCAAATACATGTTAATCTCGAGGACCAAGAAAACACCACCTTCACATGCCCATTTGGAACTTTCGCTTTTCGGCGGATGTCCTTTGGTTTGTGTAATGCCCCTGCCCCCTTCATGAGATGCATGATTGCTATCTTTGAGAAATTCATAGGCGATTTCATGGAGGTTTTCATGGATGATTTCTCCATCATTGGGGAATCATTTGAAGAATGTCTTGGAAACTTGGAGAAAGTGCTAAAGAGGTGCGAGGAGACCCAGCTGGCTTTGAGTTGGGAAAAATGCCATTTCTTAGTCAAGGAAGGGATCGTACTAGGGCATAAGGTCTCTAGCAAGGGCGTTGAAGTTGACAGGGCTAAAGTTGAGACCATCGAGAAACTTCCTCCACCAACTTCTGTTAAAGCCATCCGTAGCTTTCTTGGCCACGCTGGTTTTTATCGGAGGTTTATAAGGGATTTTTCGAAAATCGCTAAGCCATTAACTCGCCTGCTAGAAAAGGGAATCGAATTTGTTTTTGATGATGAATGCCTAAAAGCCTTTAACACTTTGAAGGAGAAGTTAATCACTGCACCAGTCCTTGTGGCTCCCGATTGGACTAAACCATTTGAACTTATGTGTGATGCTAGTGATGAAGTAGTCGGGGCTATTCTTGGCCAATGAGAGGGTAAAAACTTTCATCCGATCTACTATGCTAGCAAAACATTGTCGGGACCACAACTGAACTACACAACCACTGAAAAAGAATTCTTGGCCATCGTTTATGCTCTAAAAAAGTTTAGGCCTTACATCATTCTTTCAGAAGTAATTGTCTATACCGATCATTCGGCATTAAGATACCTACTTCAGAAGAATGATGCGAAGCCTAGGCTGTTACGCTGGGTGCTGCTTTTGCAGGAATTCAATGTACAGGTTAAGGACCGGAAAGGGTCTGCAAATCAAGCTGCTGACCACCTCTCCCGTCTCGATACGGAGGTGGCTAATCAATTTGGGGAATGCAAAGTGGATGAGACATTCCCATTTGAGAGAATACTGAAAATCAATGAAAAGGAACCATGGTATGCCGATATTGCCAACTACCTAGCTAATAAAATCGAGCCTACCATGCTTTCTTTTCACCTCAAGAAAAAACTCAAACGGGAAGCTCACCACTACTTCTGGGAAGACCCATACCTATTTCGAATCTGTGCAGACCGAGTGGTGAGAAGGTGCGTGAGTGAAGAAGAAGGAGAAGAAATACTCAAACACTGTCATTCTGGGCCAGTTGGTGGCCATTTCTCAGGGACAAGAACTGCACGAAAGGTGCTGGACAGTGGGTTCTTTTGGCCCACCATCTTTCGAGACGCCCAAATATTTGTAACCAGATGTGAGGAATGCCAACGAACGGGTAACATCACTCGTCGAGATGAAATGCCGCAACGTTACATACTTCCTTGTGAGATATTTGATGTCTGGGGTATTGATTTTGTTGGACCATTCCCGAGTTCATATGGAAATAAATACATTCTGGTGGCTGTTGAATACGTCTCGAAGTGGGCCGAAGCCCAAGCTTGTCAGAAAGATGATGCGCGCACGGTGGTGCGTTTCTTGAAAAAGTTGTTTGCGAGGTTTGCAGTACCTCGAGTGTTGATAGTGATAGAGGGACACATTTCCGGAATGATCCCTTGGCCAGAACTTTGCAAAGATACGGAGTCCAACACAGAGGGGGTGTTGCTTACCACCCCCCAGACTCAAGGCCAAGTGGAAAACACAAACAGAGATCTGAAGGCGATTCTGGAAAAGACTGTTGCTAAAACACGGAAGGACTGGAGTTTGAAGCTTGATGATGCCTTATGGGCTTTCCGAACTGCTTATAAAACTCCCATCGGAACTACTCCTTTCCATCTCGTTTACGGGAAATCTTGTCATCTGCCCGTCGAGATTGAACACAAAGCGCTTTGGGCACTCAAAAATGTGTCTAGATTCATCAGCAGCAGGAAGGGACAGATTCTACCAACTGGATGAGTTAGATGTGTGGAGAACGCTAGCTTTCCACAATAATCTGCTATACAAAAAGCGTGTCAAGAAATATCATGATGCGCATATTAAAAAGTCCAAGGAGTTCCATGAAGGAGACCAAGTACTTCTGTATAATTCCCGGTTTAGGTTGTTTCCCGGGAAACTGAAGTCTCGTTGGTCTAGTCCATTTGAAGTTGTGAAGGTATATCCGTATGGAACTGTAGAAATCCGAGGGAAGAATGGTGAATTCAAGGTCAATGGTCACCGCCTGAAGAAATTTGAAGGAGGAGATGTGTTTCGAGAGAAAAATGCAATGTACCTCCAAACCTTGGAGGCATGAAGAAAGAGAAAAGCGTCTAGCTATCGACGTTAAAGAAGCGCTGAACGGGAGGCAACCCGTCATCATCATCATCATAAAAAAAACAAAAAAAAACAAAAAAAGAGAGAGAGAGAGAGCTTTTTGTATTTATGTGTTAAAATTGATATCTGTACCATGTACAAAATGACTGTCTAAGCTGGAATGGTACTTAAGTGGATACAAAGGGTGACGCCTTCGGGAGCCGAACTTATCCCACCATTCCTACTGGGTCATTCTGTGGAAAGGTTTATTCGGGTGAGCCTAAGAGCACCTAATTGGAAGCATTCTGCCCGATCCCGAATACACTGAATTGGTCCAGTTACCATTTTTAATATATATATATATATACTTAAAAAAAAGGGGAGAGTTGAGTGCTTACTTGTCGTACCAAATTTGGGGGCAAGTTTAACCGTTGTTTAATTTTTGTAGATGGCAGGAGCACCGATTGATCCATTCAGGAGAGCACATGATCTTCAATTACCACTTCTTACTCCGGAGGCTCAAGAGCGATTCACTACGTGGGCCCAACACCAATCTTTACAGGCCCCAGTGATTCTTGATTAGAGACCACTCGTTGCAGCCGGGGTTTGGGCAGATGTTGAAGCCTCGATTAGGCCATCTGGTTGGGAGCGTTTACTTTCCTTACGAGCTGAGGCTAGCTTGCCTCTCACTATTGAGTTTCTGTGCTCATTGCGGCCTTTACTGGGGTTTGAGCGGCGAGATGATGTGGGGATAGCTATGAGGCATGACAGCCGCCTTATTTTCACTCTTCTAGGTCAGCGGCATACTCTTACTGTCGCTGAGCTTGGGTGGAGATTGGGCCTATATACTCAGGAGGAGATCTCACATTCATCTTTTGCTGACCTTCCCATTGCTGTCCCTGAGGACTTTGACGTCCAGGCTTTTTGGACTGCACATGCACGCACCGATGCTCCTTTTGAGCATCAGCTTAGTCGAGCTTCTGACTGGGCCGAGCCTTCCTGGAGGTTTCTGACATTCTTGATGTCCATGAGCTACTTTGGGAGACCCAGTAACAGCAACCGGGTCTATGCTTCTGACATGCTCTTCTTCTGGAGCATAGCACATCAGCGACAGGTTAATTTGGCTGTTTTCATCGCCCGATTCTTGTGGTCTCAGACATATGGTACACGTATCACGGTGGTTTGTGGCCCGTTAATCACACTTCTTCACAGGTCCTTACAGGTGCACATGCCTATTCTTAACCTCTTACTTCTTGAGCACAGTGTTCGACTTTTGGACAGCACCATGATACAGCACATTAGACTTCAGAGAGGTCAGATACGGAGGATTAGACCGAGAAAGGGGCCATCACCTCGACCTCGTCCTGCACCACAGCCACAGAGTACATTTCAGCAGGGACATAGCTCTACTTGGGTGGAGAACCTTCAGATACCCCTATGTTAGAATAAGTGACCAACGCTAGAGGGGGGGTGAATAGCGTTTGATCGTAGAAATCGCAGGAATAAAAAATTAAGAATGTGAAACGTAAAGAGCGTAGAAAGCGTAAAGGGAGCAGACCAAGATTTATACTGGTTCACCACAACGTGTGGCTAATCCAGTCTCCAGAGAGACTCTCTCGAGCTACACTACTTCCGTTAAGCTTACGGGTGCTTAACAAACCGTTACAACCTGAGAACTCAAGTCTCACGAGCCTCAACACACTTGCTCGGAGATACCGCACTCCAAGACTTCAACCCGAAGGAAAATACCTTTCCTTCGTACAACCAAGGGAAACAAGCTTCCCTTAACGTGTATACAACACTAAGACACTCAAGAACAAGACTCTCCTTAAGAGTGGATATGAGTAAAATATGTACGCTCAAGAACAACTCAAACTTCACACAAATTGGCTCTAGAAAGCTAATATGAATATTGTGAAGTGAATTGGTGTGTAAAGCAGACCCAAACACCCCATTTTATAGTAGAAAAATAGGCTCTAACGGACCAATGCATTAAAGGGGTGATTGGCTTGATTTATGAGATTGAATAAATTTGGGATCTGCAGGATATTGGCTTCCCATCGATGTTTGGAACTTACCCATCGATGGTAAGCCAATTTTCCTTCAGTTTTGAAGCCAACGGTTACCTACCCATCGATGGGTAGATGCTTCCCATCGCTGGGTGGGAGGTTGACTTTCAAATAAGGAAATAATCAGCCTTAAATGACTCGCAACGGTCATGCCTAACCAGCCATGGGTATGCCCTCCCATCGCTGGGTTCCCATCGATGGGTAGAGGTTCCCATCGCTGGGTAAGGGCATTCTGCCTTGTGAAAATGTTGGACCAAGGCTTAAACAGCGATGGGTAGAACTTCCCATCGCTGTTTGGCATGGTTCTGGAAGTCAGTTTCGCTGAGGGACTGCTTACCCATCGATGGGAAGATCTTCCCATCGCTGGGTGGCATGATTCTGGAATCCCGGGATCACTTACCCATGCATGGGTGAAATCTACCATCGCTGGGTAGATGGCTAGCCCAGAACCATGACCTAGCCGACCGGCGCTAAAACCCGACCGAAAAATGCAAAGTTCTCCAAAGTAAAAACTAAGTATATAAAACACTTATTTAATGTATTGTGATGTAAAAACAATCTTTGTAAGTTGAAAACCACATCGTTAAGGTAAAAACCACGGTTGACCAAGTCAACACCGTACACGGGTGGTTTTCACCAAAAGACAAGACCGAAAGGTGGTTTTCATGATGTTTTGATTGGAGAACCATTTAAATGCATTCAAAAACAATTCCCACATAAAAAACTTGAAAACCACTTCATTTAAGTAAAAACCACGGCTAGCCAAGTTTATGCCGTTTCGCGTGGTTTTTATCAAACGACAAAAATGAAAGATGGTTTTTGAAGTGTTTTTTATGAAAAACTATTTAAATGTGCCCAGAAGTAAAAACCAGTCATAAAAAGTTGAAAACCACTTGGGTAGTTCAGACGCCAAAAACCAACGCCGAAAACCGAATGGCGAACGCCAGTTTCTGAAACCCGAACGCTGGATGGCTTGATTTTTGGTTTGGGGAACATCAAGTGTTTTTAATGTTTTAAACATGTTTGAAAAACATTTTTATGATGTGTGAAATGTAATGAAAAGAATTTTAGCCTAAAGAGCCAAGGTGTAAAGGTTGGGTCGGTCTTGATCACAATTATGACCGACTCAACAACACTAAGACTACGGTCTTCGTTCTTGGTCTTCTTTTGGGTCTTGTTCTCTTGCTTTCTTCTTATATTTATTTCTCGCCTTGTATATTCAATAACTTGTCTCGTTCACGGCGGTTTGGCATTATCAAAACCTGTCATAAAAACAAACACGGCTTTAGTACGAAAACACGATAAACCTGTGTTTCAACAATTTCCCCCTTTTTGATAATGGCAAACAAGACGGGGTTATGCATAGGAGGATTGATTTGAGACTTAAAAAATGTTCCCCTTAATAAATGCAATTTTCTTTTCAACAAAGTTTATGTGTTGAATAAGAGTTAGTTTTAGAAAAACTTCCCCCTCAATCTATGCATAACCTTTATATCTTCCCCCTTTTGACATTAACAAAAAGAATTAAAAGCAAACTTTTATTCATTAAAAGGGAAATGCAAAATACAACGGATAAAAATACAATCATATTTAATAAGGAGAAAATAAAGAAGATGTCGTGGCATCGGTGTTGGCCTTCTTCTCTGAAGCCTCGGTTTTGGTCCTTGACTTTCCTCTGGCCATTGAGGCGTTTATGAAGAAGGAGAATGAATGAATTTGGTAGAATAGACTCAAACAAAGCAATTTGAGAAGATAAAAGTGTGTTATAATGGCCAAGGATGAAGAGAATATATAGGGAGAAGAAGTAATTCCGTTTGAATTTTGAAAAAAAGAGCTGTTGGGCCATTAATGCTGTCTCCAACGGTTCTGAAATTTTGAACTGAAACCACCTTTTTTAAAAAAAAAAATAAAGTCAAACACCCAGCGATGGGAAGAAGTTCCCATTGATGGGAAGAGGGCTCCTGGTTAGAAAATACTTCCTTCCCAGTGATGGTATGAGCTACCCATCGCTGGTTCCCCCTGACTTTCGGATTCCTTCACCTCGAACCGTCCCTGCAAAAAAAAAACAACGCTTTGTACCCAAAATGTCTATGGGTCCTTCGGGGTTAGTTAACCTTTATTGCCCACACACACACACGATTAGATGATCGTTTAGGAGTTACCTTGGCCAACCCATGATCTTGTGGTTGGCGGGTTCCAGTCTACCTGAACAGAGTGCCGATATCTCGGTGTGGTCTGTGTTGGTTCCGGTAACGGAATGTGGACTTTCTTCTTTTCGTCAAAGTAGAAGAAATAGTAAGGTTTCTTTTGTGCGTTATCCTGTGGAGATTGTTTATGATACGAATATCCTTTTTCAAAGGATTTCTTTTTGTTAGCACCAAATATGTTGTGTGTTTCATTATAGGTGAAGTGCCTATGTCTGGTAAAACACACGGGAGCTATATGTCCTACCTTATTGCAATAATGGCATACTACGTTTGGGTTGAACATATGCCTAGGTTGATAATAGTTGCTAGAGGGCCTAACCATATTCATCCTATTTTGGAAAAATATTGGTTTTTGAAAACTCTCTCTTCTTGGTGTTCTAACATTATTTTGTCTATTTGAAAAATTAATTTTATGTACAAAATCATTTTGATAATTTTTCTTAGGTTGTCTAACATGTGCATTTTCATTCCTAGGTTTTTGTCTAGGTTGTCTAGTGTCCTTAGGTTGACTAGATTTTCTATTATCCTGATTTTTAACTTTCTTACGTTGAGTCTTAGTAGGTTGTCTAGGTATTTGCTCAACGTTTTTATCCTTAGATTCATTTTTATCAAAACTTATTCCTTCCTTAGAAAAATGCACAGTGTCAAGAAGTAAATTAAGATATTTATGTGGTGTATTAAACTTCTTAACCGTACTCTCAAGTTTTGCAACCTTTTCTTTTAAAGTTTTGCAAGATTCACATTCGCTTGAAGAGCTTTCCGGTTTGTCAGCGCTTCTTTTACCATAAAATTTGTTTTCTTGTTTCAACTTTTCATTATCTTTTTCCAGTTTTTCAAAATCATTTTCAAGAGTGGAAAGGCGTTTCTTTAACGATTTGTTGAGTTTAGAAGCGCTAACAAATTCATCATAAAGTTCGTGAAGTGCTTCTTGCATTTCTTCAAAAGTGTAAGAGTCGGAAGAAATGGTACATACCTCTTATACATCGTCGGTTTGGTCTTCGTGTACCATGAGGCAGAGGTTGGCGGCTTCCTCCTCTTCTTGGTCAGTGGACTCGTCACCGGAGTCGCCACCCCAAGAGATATACGCCCTTTGCCTTTTGAAGTGTCGAGCATTCCTTCCGCTTTTCGGGCATTTGTTCTTGATGTGCCCGGCTTCTCCACATCCATAGCACACAGGGCCATCCTCAACCTTTTCTTTCTTTCTTAGAAGTTTGTAGAACTTCTTCATGACAAGCTTGACTTCATCATCGTCACTTGAATCATCCATCGTTGATTCTTTGACGGCTTTTAGTGCTATCCCTTTCCTTTGGTCATTCAAAGACGGATTAAGAATAGTAGATTCATAGGTTTTTAGATTACCTCTTAGGCCGTTGATGGTGACATTTGACGTGCCGATTGATTCATAGATGGCATCGGCCTTGGATCGCCATTCGGATCTCAAGCTCCGTAGGATCTTTCGCACAAGATCCCTGTCGGTGTACGTCTTCTTTAATGCATGAAGATCGTTGACTATCTTGGAGAAACGGTCAAACATATCGTCAATCTTCTCGTGCTCCTTCATCCTAAACATCTCATACTCTTGAGTGAGGAAGTCGATCTTGGCTTCACGTACTTGGTCTGTTCCTTCGTACGTCACCTCAAGTTTATCCCACATCTCTTTGGCGGTTGAGCAGCAAGAGATCTTGCGGTAGTCATTAGGATTTACGACACAATAAAGCATGTTTATTGCTTTTGCATAATTCTCGACCTTTTTGATGTCCTCGGCATCAAACTCGTCTTCGGTCTTGGGGATCAACTTGTCTCCGACTTTCTTCATCAGCACCTCTTCCCCGGTTTTGATAACCAACCATAATTGGAAGTTCGTGGAATGAATATAGATTCTCATTCGTTCTTTCCAATATGTATAATTGGTTCCATCAAAAAGAGGTGGCCGTGTGGTTGATTGCCCTTCACCTATTCCTGCATACAAATTTCTAGAAGAAGAACCCATGATCGCTTTACTCTCAAACGGTTAAGTTTGTACACGAGTTAGGCTCTGATACCAATTGTTAGAATAAGTGACCAACGCTAGAGGGGGGTGAATAGCGTTTGATCGTAGAAATCGCAGGAATAAAAAATTAAGAACGTGAAACGTAAAGAGCGTAGAAAGCGTAAAGGGAGCACACCAAGATTTATACTGGTTCACCACAACGTGTGGCTAATCCAGTCTCCCAAGAGACTCTCTCGAGCTACACTACTTCCTTTAAGCTTACGGGTGCTTAACAAACCGTTACAACCTGAGAACTCGAGTCCCACGAGCCTCAACACACTTGCTCGGAGATACCGCACTCCAAGACTTCAACCCGAAGGAAAATACCTTTCCTTCGTACAACCAAGGGAAACAAGCTTCCCTTAACGTGTATACAACACTAAGACACTCAAGAACAAGACTCTCCTTAAGAGTGGATATGAGTAAAATATGTACGCTCAAGAACAACTCAAACTTCACACAAATTGGCTCTAGAAAGCTAATATGAATATTGTGAAGTGAATTGGTGTGTAAAGCAGACCCAAACACCCCATTTTATAGTAGAAAAATAGGCTCCAACGGACCAATGCATTAAAGGGGTGATTGGCTTGATTTATGAGATTGAATAAATTTGGGATCTGCAGGATATTGGCTTCCCATCGATGTTTGGAACTTACCCATCGATGGTAAGCCAATTTTCCTTCAGTTTTGAAGCCAACGGTTACCTACCCATCAATGGGTAGATGCTTCCCATCGCTGGGTGGGAGGTTGACTTTCAAATAAGGAAATAATCAGCCTTAAATGACTCGCAACGGTCATGCCTAACCAGCCATGGGTATGCCCTCCCATCGCTGGGTTCCCATCGATGGGTAGAGGTTCCCATCGCTGGGTAAGGGCATTCTGCCTTGTGAAAATGTTGGACCAAGGCTTAAACAGCGATGGGTAGAACTTCCCATCGCTGTTTGGCATGGTTCTGGAAGTCAGTTTCGCTGAGGGACTGCTTACCCATCGATGGGAAGATCTTCCCATCACTGGGTGGCATGATTCTGGAATCCCGGGATCACTTACCCATGCATGGGTGAAATCTACCATCGCTGGGTAGATGGCTAGCCCAGAACCATGGCCTAGCCGACCGGCGCTAAAACCCGACCGAAAAACGCAAAGTTCTCCAAAGTAAAAACTAAGTATATAAAACACTTATTTAATGTATTGTGATGTAAAAACAAGCTTTGTAAGTTGAAAACCACATCGTTAAGGTAAAAACCACGGTTGACCAAGTCAACACCGTACACGGGTGGTTTTCACCAAAAGACAAGACCGAAAGGTGGTTTTCATGATGTTTTGATTGGAGAACCATTTAAATGCATTCAAAAACAATTCCCACATAAAAAAACTTGAAAACCACTTCATTTAAGTAAAAACCACGGCTAGCCAAGTTTATGCTGTTTCGCGTGGTTTTTATCAAAAGACAAAAAAAGAAAGATGGTTTTTGAAGTGTTTTTGATGAAAAACTATTTAAATGTGCCCAGAAGTAAAAAACCAGTCATAAAAAGTTGAAAACCACTTGGGTAGTTCAGACGCCAAAAACCAACGCCGAAAACCGAATGCCGAACGCCGGTTTCTGAAACCCGAACGCCGGATGGCTTGATTTTTGGTTTGGGGAACATCAAGTGTTTTTAATGTTTTAAACATGCATGTTTGAAAAACATTTTTATGATGTGTGAAATGCAATGAAAAGAATTTTAGCCTAAAGAGCCAAGGTGTAAAGGTTGGGTCGGTCTTGATCACAATTATGACCGACTCAACAACACTAAGACTACGGTCTTCGTTCTTGGTCTTCTTTTGGGTCTTGTTCTCTTGCTTTCTTCTTATATTTATTTCTCGCCTGTATATTCAATAACTTGTCTCGTTCACGACGGTTTGGCATTATCAAAACCTGCCATAAAAACGAACACAACTTTAGTACGAAAACACGATAAACCCGTGTTTCAACACCCTATGGGCACAGACATTGAGTACTCAGATGCAGAGTCTTCAGTACCAGATGAGTGGGTTTCATGGTAGATTGGAGGAGTTACACACAAGGTTCACCGAATTTGAGCAGCGTTACGAGGTAGATATGACCAGGCTTATTGACCAGCAGGAGGCTCAGTGGACTAACTTCTTCAATATCGGTACTCCTGTTCAGACGCCAGTTCAGCACCCTTCGACTGGTCATACTTTGACTCCTGATGCATCAGATGCCGCACCCACGCACCCAAACCCACCCCGATTCTGATCTTCTGATTACTTTTTCAGACTTTTACTTGCTTTTTTTCTTGTGATTTGACCAGGTTGCTTGGATGCTGCATTTTGTTTTGAACAATCATTTTATGCACGAATTTGTGGATACAATCTTGGGGAAGTTTACTGTGCGATATGCCCTTTTCCCCAAAAAAAAATTTTCCTTGATTTATTACTGTTTCAATCTTCAATTTGAATGCTTTAAGTATTAGAATAATTTAATTTGTGCATTTGAGTTTTTCCACCATAACTCTAGTTTCTTATCACTTTTAAACCCGCGAGGGCGCGGTTCCGCTTAAGTGTGAGGAGGATAGAGTTATGTTTGAAATACTCTAAAGAAAGTTTTTACATCTTTATATTTTTAGGAAAATTATATATACGATACAGTCATCAGCTTTAATTTTCTAAAATATTTTTACCTAAAAAAAATAATTTTTTCTGTCAAACTTAGATTTTTGTTTAAATTTTTGAAGATCTTTGGTATGAATGGATGAATTTAAGTCTAAATTAGTAGATTTATTATCATGTTCTCTAATGTTTGAATTAACATATTTTCTATAAAGATATTTTGTAAGGTCAAATAATTTTTAGTTATTTTATTAAAAATCTTTTTAGATACTGCTCCGCTATTTCTAAATATGAGCATTTATTGTTTCTTTAAAAGTTCTATTTAAATAAAACACACTTTGGTGAGACCGAATTCTCGAGTGAAAATTTGAAATCAAAAAGCATCTGGTTCTATATCAGATGATGAGATTTAATTATTTTGGGAGAATGCAAAAGAGCACGCAACTCTATGTTGCGTGATGAGGTTTTTGAGAGAAAATAATATCCAAAAAGCTCGTGGTTCTATGTCACGGGATGAGGATGTAAATTCTTTGTTTTCGTGTCAACATGACAAAGTGATGTTATTCAAAAAAAATCATGAAAGTAACTTTTTCAAGAAACAATTTTTTAATTTAATCATTAAAGATTCTTTGACCTTATAATAATTTTAGTATGGAAAAGTTGTTATTTTAAATTTAGAGAACATTGACTTTAGTCTTATTAATATTCTTCAATTTTAATCTTTGAAACCTAGATTAATTTAATTTGAACAAAATTTTGAGTTTGACAAAAGAATTTATTTTCTTTCAAAATGAGTAAAAATTCTTTTTAGTAAATTAGGTTGATGACTGTCTAATATTTTGTTCCTATAAATAGATTGTGTAAATACTTTCTGTGCATATATTTAGTTGTTCAAATTCTTTTAATTATTCAATTTGTTGCTTGAGGGCAAGCAACGTTTAAGTGTGAGGAATTTGATAAGTCCAATTTTTTGGTCTTATTTTATACCTTATATTTCAACGTTCTTGTACGTAAACAAAAATAAATCAAGAATTTCAAATAAATTTTTATGATAAAAAGTCATTTTACAAATTTGTTAATAAAAAGATTGTTCAAAATTAAATTTAGTTTTTCCAAGCATATCATGGCCAAATAGAAGAAAATATTTCAAATTGATGATCACAAGTGAAGAAAGAGATCAAATCAGGCTTTGGAGCAAAAAGAATGGATCAAAAT